CTTTTTAATTGTTTTGGGAGGTGTTTCTTTCTACATTATACTCTTTTTTTCCCTATATCTCTACTATTTATATTTCTCTATACCGATAGTATTCTATATGCTTTCCCTGTTTTGTTTTGCGGTTTGCTATTGCTATTTGTTGTTGGATTTTCGTTTCGTCAATGCACCATTCATTTGTTGTCGCAAGCTATGTATATTTTTTTTCTTGCAGCTCTTTTTTTCGTGTTTTTGTTGATTAAATTTCTTGCTAATGATATGGTTTTTCTCTCCGAAATTTATTTATTTTTATGCAAAAGCAATGAACATTGTTAATGTTGTTTTGCATTTTATGGTTATGGTTGCTCCATGTTTAATTCGGGCAACTTATGTTAATTTTATGGTATTTTATTCAAGTTTATGATTTTGTTTCTTTTCAAGATTCTTTTTCTACAATATTGTTTGGGATTTAATTTGATTATTTAAATATTTGTCTCGGTGCATCGATTGAGAAATAATTTTTTTTTTTTTTGCACTAGTCCCGAGTTGGTGTATATAGGTTTTCAGTTTTTATTTTACTATATAACGAAAACAACACTTAAAAAATTGACATAGCAAACTATTAAATTATATAGATTGATGTGGATAGGGATCCACAATATAACACACTATATAGATATAGCATGGCGGTCTTGCTAGTCGATTAGCGAGCGAGAGTCAAGGGATCGAGCACTCCTTGTGAGGGCTCAAGGATGGAGCCCTCGAAAGATCTACAAAATATTAAATCAGAATTATAGGCCTCGTTAGGCCTTTTTCTCTTATAACCCTAATTGTCTACAATATAAATATAGACAATATCCCTTATACTTGTAATCATTATTTGACAAAACCTAATAAGAAATCCTAATACGAGTCTTGGAGTAGGCATCATTACCGAATCACCTAAAATTTTGATGTTGTATGATTGTTCTTGTTTTTTCTATTTTATTCTTTTACTTGATTTGTTTTCTAACATAAACTCGATAATAAACTAGAAGAGCCCCTCTCGTCATTAACGAACCACGCATAGACCAAAAGAAGAGAACAAAAAACAACCCCCAATATAAATTATTCCGTACCATGAAGTAAAGGAAAACAACCAATCTCATTATAAAAAAAAAAAAAAAAAAAAAAGGGGTTGTTGATTCCATTTTTCAGCTAAATCCATGGCAATTTACACAACTCCCACAACATAAAGTCTAAATCCATAGTAAAATAAATTTAGCCGAGTATAAGAAACTACACAATTAACACACATTTTATTTTAGTTTTGGAAAAAAAGAAGGGCGAAAAATATAGTAATTGAGTCCAAATCTACAATAAAATAAATCTAACTCGAATAGTAGAATGCATAAAAGCCGTAAATTGAACACACATTCTATTTTAGTTTTGTTGTTAACGTATATGAATTGTACGAGAATACACATATTATTTTTGTTTTTCCATTAATAATTAGTTTTTTGACTTTTTTTTGTGTTTTTTTTTAAATTTTTGGGATTTTTACTTTTGAATTCATTGAAAATAGCGCTTGATAAAATTTTAAAAAATATTCTAAAGCTAGTTAGAAATTAGAAATAAGAAGTTGTAAAATAAAATTTATGAAATTTCAAATCTTATATAATATAAAAGCATTGCAACATCACTATTATCAAATATTTACAACAAAAATCACAACTTTCTCAATGAATTGTAAATCCACAAGGAGTGAAATAAGATGAAAATTAAAAAAAAAAAAAAAAAAAACCTTTGAACACCTTTATTAATCGACTGGAACCTCTCTACAATTTTGATCTAAACATAGTACAGTATCACTTAGTTTTTAAAAATCAATATACATATACATACATACATACATATATATATATATATATATATATATATATATATATATATATATATATATATTACCGTTCACAAGTATTTAAATGATGTTATCAAATTTACATGCATTGTATGCACAAATAGGTTGCGGTGAGTGCGTGTCCGATCAACGTGTCAGTTGGCTAGCCAGTCACGGAAGAGTAGGCAAGGTGACTGCATCTATTTGAGGTCAATCTATCTATATATTTACGAAATATGATCAATTTTTTAATTAAAATACATGTTACGAAAACTAAAAGAGTTGGTTTGGATATCTAGTTGTTTAAGTAAAGTATTTATAGATATAGAAAAATCTTTAAATAAACATGTTTGTTTTATGCATCCAATGAAGAATTAATTTGGATATTCGGACTTGTAATATCCTGAAAAATATATATACATATTATGAAATATATTTTCTTATATATATTTTTAAAATTTGAAGTAAAAAAGTCGAAAAAGTAAACTTTCTTAGCAATCAAACCAACCCTTAAAATTAAAAATATTATATTTCTTATAATACACGATATAATATACATAAACGTATTGGGCAAGACAACATATGATTTTCCCGTGCTTAAGGTAACAAGAGGGGAGGGAGTTTTGTTCATATTTGAGCCATAGGAAAGGAAAAACTTTGTGCGCTTTATGATCTAATCTTTTCATGGGACACGTAAGAAAATTAAAAAATGGAGTTGATACGTAATTTGGAGTAAACCTAGCCAGGCACTTGGCAAGCTACAGGCAACGGTTAATGCGGCTACAAGTTTCTTTCTTGTACATCATCTATTTTCCTCACACAATCTGCTCCAAACGACAATTTTCTCCTATGAATACACTATTAGAGGTTACCTTTTTTTCGTTAGACGATAAAAATATTTTTTATTTAAGTTGCCTTTTTGAATAATTTAAAAAATATATTATGGTGCATTAGAGAGAAATTTAATAAATTGTCTTTTAAATACAACTTGAAAGAAATATACATACGTCAACTTTTTTTAGAATTAATTAAAGGTTATTTTATAAATTAAGCACCTGCCTTGTATAAAAATCCAGCTAACTTTTCGTGCCCAAATCCACATGCAATTCTAAAAAAATGGGCATATTTTTTTTAACAGATAAATATTTTATTGCATCAGCTTTTATGTATTTTAAAATTTCTTTAAGACGTGATTAAAAAATATTTTTTAACGTATAATTTTAAAATGAAATTTTAAAAATATTAATTATAAGAATCAAATATCGGATATAATCTATAAGTCAACATTGGCAATTTTTAAAAAATGGACATAGGTTTTGCATCATCAAGAAACAATATGTCGTGTACAACTGTAACATATTAGAAGAGTTTGAAAGCTTCCGGCAAAAGTAAGTAACAAAAGGCTGATAGGGACATAGCAAATCAAAACGCGGTTTCCTGCATGATGATTATTCTATAACTTTTCTTTTTCTTTTTCTTTTTTTTTTCACAGGGATTCTCAATATATCTTTTCTTCTTTTTAATTTGAGACAAAAAAATATAATTTAATTTTTTTAATAAATATAATTTTAAGATTCAAATTTTTTATTTAAAGAACAACTCGTTGGTTTTTTATTTTTATTTTTCAAAATTTAGAACATCACACCATATATAATATTATCATTGAGATTAATTAAGAAGTCTATCTAAAGTATTTTGATTACTTTTGTGGTTCACATGCTACACGCGTACGTACGACCTTGACCAAATTGTATCGGTGGTAATTCATTTTTCAAATTAATTAAAAACGTGCTAATTCTTTAGAAAGAATTAATAATTGTATTTATAGGTGGCATTTTTCTCATACATGGGCTCCACTCCTCTGCATGATTGAAAGCCTATTTCTTTTTTGGAAATACGAAGACTTTCTCTTTCAACTTTATTGACACCATAAATTTTGATAATTCTCTATATTATTTACTAGTTCTTTGATCCAAGAGTTAGTGTTAAAAAAAAGAAAAAAAAGGTTAATTTATCGATTTGTTCTTGTGTATTGAATGATTTCCCTTCTTAAAAATTTAAAATTAAGTCAATAAATTAAACAAGGTATATATATATATATAATGAAATGAAACTCATAAATAACTTTCATAGGGGTACTATAATTTATCTGATAATTTTTTTTTCATAAATCAACCTTTATATCTCTAATATATTCTTCAATAAATCTTTTTATTAGACACAAGTAGATTTAATTCAAGGGTTGCATATCCAATTATTTTTTTACTGAAATAAAATTCGAGTTCTAATAATTTTTTTTTTGAATAATTATGTAACATGAAAGAACTATTATTATTATGTAGATCAAAAGTACATGGATCTTAGATGAATAAAAATATAAAAAAAATCTTCATATTATTACATCCTTTAGAAAATTTGTAAGAATCTAGAGTCTTGGTCAAAACATTAACTTTCGTTTTTTATTTTTTTCCCCTTTCCCGTTAAACATAAAAAGAAGGCATGAGGTATATCTACTCTTTTCAGGGTGTACAAATACTAAGAGAAATTTTATAATATTCTAAAAATAATTAATAACATGTACAATAGTTACTTCATGGATTCATTTTGAGGAGAGATATAGACACATAAAATTACATCGTGACTCATCAAAAGTGATAAAAAGATATTTACGTTCTTTCAATTTTTTTTAATTTTCTCTCGTATATTTTTTTATAACTATCTCTTTTTTTTTAAATGAATCTATGAAATAACTATTATATATGTTATTAATTAAAGGTTAATTATTATAAAATTTCTTCATATACTAGTATATCTACTTGTAATATCTTAGGTAGGTACTGCTGTATGCAGGTGTGCTTACTCAGCTACTCTTTGTTTAAGCTGTCATTCCTACAATGACAGTAAACAGGCGGGGCGGATACGCCACTTTTTTTGGCTTTGGCTTCTTTCTTGCATGGTATCTCAAAAAATAATAAAAAGATGAATTTGATGGCTCCCTCCTTCTCTATATATATTAGCACTTGCCAGTCAAGCAAACGACATAAAGCTATAGCATACCCAAAAGCAAAGCAAAAAGTTGTCTAAGAAAAGCTGTTCCTCTCTCTCTTTTTGTATAACTCTCAAAAGGAAAACCAACCCTCAAATTATGGAAGCAGAGGAAGAAATGCCACTATTCTGGCTTCAAGCCACCGACCGTCCCCGCCGCATCCGCCGTCAAGCCTCTTCTGTCTGTCTAAATTCTGGTGTATTTCTCATAGTTTTGCTAGTTTTAGCTTTCACTTTTGTCTTTGTTATTGTTCCTTCAGTTGGCTCTTTCACATCTCATGTTTTGAGACCACATTCGATCAAGAAAAGCTGGGACTCGCTCAACTTTTTTCTAGTCCTCTTTGCTATTGTCTGTGGATTTCTCAGCAGAAACAACAGCAGCAGCGATAATGAAACTAAAAGTTATTATGAAGATCAAAGCTTGGCAAATGTACAAAAATCGCAACCATCAACTCCTTCACGTAGGTGGTTTGAGTATCAAGATCGAACTGTGAGCTATAACACATTGAACAGATTGAGGAGTTCCAGTTCATATCCAGATCTTCGTCAAGAGTCATTAGAACGGTGGAGGTTTTATGATGACACCCATCTGAACAACTACAGGTTTTCAACCTCAAATGATCAGATTCATCACGATCATCATCATCCACAGCAGCACCCGCAAGATGAAGAAACTAAGAAACAAGAAGAAGAGGATGTAGGTGTTAAAGATATAGATGTTGATACATTTGTGACAAATCAAAAGGAAGTTTCATATCGATCATCGCCACCTCCATCGCCTCCATTGCCACCATCTCCGCCTCCGTCTAAGCTTGTGAGAAGAAAGGTGAAGAGAACATATCAAGATCTTGGATATCATGAAAAAAGAACTGATCATGATCAGGAGAAAAAGTTTGAAAACCTCTACAATATCCCTCCACCATCTCCGCTGCCGCCGCCCCCTCCTCCTACACCACCACCAATGTTCAGCAAGAACGACAAAAGGAGAGGTAAAGATTTCTTGATTTCATTAAGAAGAAAGAAAAAGAAGCAGAGACAAAAGAGTGTTGAAAATCTTGAAAGCTTGTTCAATCCTGAACCTTCAACTACAACTAGTACTCTACATTTGATACCACCACCTCCACCACCACCACCACCCCATTTTTTTCAAACTTTGTTCTCAAAGAAAGGCAAAACCAAAAAACTCCATCCAGTTCCCCCGCCGCCGCCGCCTCCACCACCACCAGTCACACGTGTATCAAAGGTGGTCTCGCAAAAGGTTACATCAAGAACCAAGGCCCAAGTAGCAGCAGTGACATCTCATAAACCTCCAAAAACAGTCAAGACAAGTAGTTTCAATAGCGTGGAAGAGAATAATGTGGCGAGTGGGAATGCTTCCCCTTTGATTCCAATACCACCACCGCCACCACCACCGCCATTCAAAATGCCAGCATGGAAATTTGTTCTTGATGGTGACTATGTTAGAGTAGAAAGTTTCGATAGTTCGAGAAGTGGATCACCGGATTTGGATGGTATTGAGGATGCAACATCAGATAAGGATCAGTCAAGTCCAATGGCAGCAGCTGGTGGATCAGATTCAGCAGCAATGCCATTATTTTGTCCAAGTCCTGACGTGAACACCAAGGCTGATAATTTCATAGCAAGGTTTAGAGCTGGTTTGAACTTGGAGAAGGTGAATTCTGTGAGGGGAAGGTCAAATCTTGGCCCAGAAGCAAGCACAAGTTAGAAGAAGACTTCAGATTTTCTTTTCTTTTCATTTTCTAATTTTTTGAGATTTGATTGATTTTCTATTATTATTATTTTCATTTTTTTTTTTGGGGTGAGGATGTATGTAATTGGTTTGGGTTGTGCTGACATTTATAGGTGAAATTTAATTATACGTACAGGAATGAATGAACATAGAAACACGGAATTGATTGATTATTTTTCTTTCTTTAATTTCTTGAATTTTTCCTGCTCAAAATCCCTTCATGTTTTTTTTTTATTTTTTTTTTATTGTCAAAAAAAAAAAAAAATGCAGGAACAGAACTCAAATCCAAGAACTGTTCCACTTCTTGCATTTCAGGTCAACGCATTATTATTCTTAATCTAGTTATGAGGTTTGAATGTTTTGTGGAGTTCTCAAGCTACATTGGTTTGTGACTTTTTTTTTAAATATAGAGATGAAAAATACTGCCTTTTGTTTGATGTTTTTCTTTCCCCATAAGAGAAGCTCCAACCCGAAACCTCTTGAAGAGGGTGATATGGATGCCTGTTGAGCTTTCATTTTTGGTCTTGGCGTGTAATTAATGGCCCAGCATTTTCTCTTGACAGAGAGATAGAGTAGGTATTTGGAATGGATATAGTTTGCTGGTGTGTGCAAAAAGAATAAAGATGTTTTCTTGATGATAATCAGCAAGTTATGACTTCTAAAAACAATTATATATTTCATATACGCTCTAAGCGTGTAGATGAATTTGTTAATTAAACTATAATTAAACAGGCAAAGTAGAGAGGTTCATGTACTCAGAATCATGGCAGCTATCTACCAGAAAATTAAATATCCACCAAGACATATAAAGTGGCAAAGAACAAAGAAGCATGATGGGAAATTATGATCTCATAAATTTATTTGTTCAGATCCAACTAATTTGCTTTTAACATGATGTTGTGACCCCAGGACGTGCAGTTTGTTTATATGGTTTTTGGTATATTGGAGTTGTCATGTCAATGATTAAATAATACAGATCTCACAAAAGTAACTTCATCAGGGGAAATTTAAACATTGTATGAGGTATCATACTTTGCAAGCTAGTTGCGTGATTAGTTCTTTAAGGGAACTTTCTTGCTTTGTGTTTTGAACCCATGTTTTGAACCCACCTTGCCTTGATTCTTACTTGCTCTATGCTTTGCTTCAAATTCATAGCAATCCCTGGAGTTGCTCGAGTGGCGAAAAATTCTTCCACTTCATCAGCCTTTTCATTGCTACAGAAATGCCAGATTAATTTAATCAGACCAATGATTAATTTCTCCTATCAATCTTGCAAGTTGACTAATCAAGGATTAATTTAGGTCACGGACAGCTCACCGAAAATTTATCCCTACTTCAAGAAATATTATTTTTAGACATCATGGATGGATTAAGGATGACAGCATCACCAACCACATATATATATATATATATATATGCACACACACCAACTTTTCAAGATGGTGATTTGAGGGAGAAGATGCACTTTTTAGAAGTAAAATCTTCCCATTCAATTACCTTATCCTCTGCACATGTCTTAATTACCTACTTATTTTTGTAATGTTGCTAGAGAACTTGATCCATAACTTGATAACTGGAGATGATATGCAGGGACTGCAAAAGGATTTTCCCTCTGTATGTTCAAGTACTAGGCAGACTTTTGGTCTGACTTCCAAGCATTGGCTATGGTGGATTGCATCTAAATATGGCCTACCATTCGTTATATTAACATTGGTTATCAGGTACATACTTACCCGTGAGATAATATCTCTGATGAAATGGGTGATTAGAAGTCCATCACCATATTTGTTCAAGATTTGTTCCCAGTTCTTCTGCATCAATGACCAAACGTACATCACAACGGAATCATGCAGGTTAATAGTATTGTCATGACACATTATTGACAATGCTTTCCCGAGTAATTAATATTTCCTGCATACCTTCAACCATTTCCATGCTATTTTGCGGCCCTCTAAACTTATGCCATTAAGTCCATAGATAATGTCCTGATCACGAACCTGAAAACATGTTAAGACAAAATCAGTAACCTGAAATGAAACCAGCAAGAAGAGCGAGGCTATTATCAATATCTGCTAAGCGGCGGTGGGGTACCTCATCAGACACCAGCAGGTTTAGGCCTTCTAGAACTATATCTGGGTCTGGACAGGAAGCTATACATCCTGCATTGTCAAACATATGAAATTTAACATATCTAATTTTTTTCCCAAAAAAATAATCACTCCATTTCAGTTTGAATGCTACCAAATCTTACCCAAAACACGTTCCTTCTCGTGCACTGCATCGGCTTCTCTCAATATCTTCAACAAGGACTCAAAACCACTCCTATTTCTGGAGCTAGCATTCCTCATTATAGCTATGTATGCAGCCTGCAATGAAACTAGATGCTCTGCGTGTCATACTTGAAGAGGTTCACATAAGAAAGAGGAAATAATCTGGCTTTAGTTTATTTTTTGATGAAAATCGATTTAGATTATAAAGAGAGCCATCCAGTCAATGGCAAAAATGAGATTTCGGAGTAGAAACAATAGGCCTATAGCCAAGCAAGATAGCCTTCCTATATATCCACTCCTTGCTTAGCCAAACTATCAGCAACCATATTACCATCTCTATTAATTCTGCTAAAACTAATTGACTTCATATTATGAATACAAGAATCGATGCTCACAAAAACATTATGCATTTTCCATGGCCTCTCATTAGCATTCTGATGAACCCAAAGCATTGCATTTGCTGAATCGGTTGTCTGGCTTGAGTTTATGCGTTACCTTTTTCGTATCAGTTGAAAGAAGAGTCGTGGTTCTGTCATTTAACAAAGATTGAAACCGCTGCATTGCTTCTCTGTGAGTTTTATCGTGCCCAAATGTAGCCAAGGCTGTATAGATTTCTCCTCTTAACAGTGCATTTAAGTGGATCTCTCCCAGCACTGATTCCCAACCTAATTTTCTGCATGCCATAATGAACACATTTTGCTTTTAAATATCACAGAAAGAAACTTAGTCCAATATATGAAGCAACTTTATAATGAAGAACAAAGCATGTAGACCAGTGAAGTTATAATCAATAAGGTAACAACAAGATCAAGCTGACACTTGAAAGACTAAGTTTCAGAAAAGCCAAAGGGTTTCTTTCATTAAATATTTCATTCATTTTAGCCCCTTCTATATTAGACAGAAAAGTTAACAGAATCCCTTTTACCCTGAGTAGCAGTTATGAGATTTTGGTTTGGACCATTCTCCTGCAAACCAAAGGAATTGTCAGGTCCGTGTCAATTATCCCTAATAATAATACTTACTCAGAAGAAAATAGGAGGAGGTTGATGAAAAACGTCCTCAACTCATTCACTGAAGCTGGGATGGCGTCTATCAACATCTCCAAAACACTATAGCAGACCTATTTTGTAAGTTATTTAAAAGGTCAGATTGCCACAAGTATCGGCGTAGACAAAAGCAACTCAAACTAATAATCAAATCATATGGTACACTTACATTAATGAATTTTGATAATACAGTATAATCCAGTTCTTTTCTGTACACATCTATCAAATAAAGCAGAGATGATATTGATATTTCACAAGCCTGGCAAAGAGCAAACGTATCATCCAAAACCCCTGAAATGTGTTAAAATGGATGTCAAGCTACTTAATGTTGGGTTTATAATGTTAACAAGACATGGAATTAAGTACAATTTCATGCCTTAAGCTTGCCAACAAGTACGCATAGTGCTTCTGCCACCCACCTCAATTTATAGGGTGCCATCAAATGCAGCCACTACAATATTTCCAGCAAGGAAAAGAGACTGATTTGTTTGTTTCAAATGAATATGTAGGGAAGGAATCCACATATGAGGTTAAGCTGATATTTCCATGCTGTCATCAGCGAAAATCAATAGATAATCATCTATGTAGCAGCTATTAGTGACAATCCATACGTACCAAATTTATCTTTTGCTGACAAGTGATTGTCCTCTACTGCTTTCCTCAGTTGAGCTGCAAGTTTATCTTCATATTTTACTCAATAGAAACCACTTTGCTTGACGTTAACTTTGACCCATACATGTTCAGAAGTTGAAAAGAGTGCAGATACATCCACCCTTTCAACTTTTGACTCCAACAGGAAATTCTTGCGTCTATTGTAAGAGCCAAGGGCCAAAGTTATTGGAACAATCCATTTCCCCTCACCATGCAAACCAGATGACAGGAATTGTGACTGCAAGTCCCACATCAGTATTGGATACCCTCACTTATATGGGATCATCTCGAAGAGAGTTTGGAAAAAAGTTAGTTCTAATCCCACAATTATTGGTGAAATGGAAAATCCGCAACAAATGCATGCTTGCTTATAAACCAAAAAGTTACCTGTTCAAATTCTAAGAAGTGGTCGTCAGATTTTACAGAAATGACTGGATGCCCTTTTTGCTTTGTCCAACTGTCCATCATTGAGTTCACTTGAACACCAGATTCCGCTGAAAGCATGCTCCATAAATCTTCTGTCTTCGCATTTTTCCAAGCGTATTTTTCCATGTATGAGCTCAAGGCTTTCTGGTTAGCAAATGAAGCCAAAAGGTTAATCATGTAAACTATAGGAAGTTTCAATCTAATTTACAGCAAAACAATTACATTCCAAATCTGCAATCAATTACCATGCCATTGACTCTCCAATACTTGTTCAATGTTTCAGCAAAAAGAAGTAGTTCTACAGTAACAAGCCCGCCAGCCAGCGTAACTGTCAGACTACCATGACCCATCGGACAACTATAACCTTATTATTGAGTGGATTTGTGATATTAGCATCTATATATGACAAGAAAGCGTGGAAGGCAGAACAAGTTGCGAGTAATTTTATCATGTTCAAGGGTTTCCAATAGCTACCCCAATAAAATTGTGAAAGCTGATCTAGGCAAAAAACAAAAAAGTGTCTCTTAATGCATCAAAGCAGAATTACAATATGTTCTACATAGAGAAGAATGGGGAAAAAAGGCTGCTAATCTCTGCAGGAAATTCAACCATAACAAAACATACTCCCAGTATCCGAATGCCATACCCATAACCATTCTTGCATTGCATAAGGTGTGATATTACAGCATACCTTTTTTGCTGAAATGATCCCCCATGGAAACAGAACATCGAACTCTAAACTATCAAATCAATTTTCTCATCTGGATTATGCTGTCACCAAGATAGCTCTGCAACATTCTGATAACAGCAGATCCCTTCTTATAGCTGATAGCATCAAAGATTTCACTCACTGAACGAGCATGGTGTATCTCCACCTGAAAAGTATGACTTTTAAAGAACACACTTACTTGGAAGGTGTAGCTGTACTTGAAACAGTCAATTGTCATGATTTTTTATATGGAGTATGTCATATATCAGAAAGCAAATGCTCAACATGATATCCACAGTAAACAGAGAGCTTCATGGAGATGATAGCTTTAGGTTTTGGAAAGGAGGTACAATGAGCAATTCTTGGCAATTTATAAAAATCAAAGCATGATTTTGTACATAAAGATGAGCTATTTATTGATATACTAAATAATTGGGCTTAACGATAAGTTAATTTGTCAAACTAATATACATGAACAACAGCAAATTCTACCATGGCCATAAATCATTCGTTACCTCAATCGGATGGGATCCTTCTAGTGCATCGATACACAAGCCACCATTGGTTTGTTGAAGAAACTGAGTCCATATTTTCCACTCAGGAAACAAGCTATCCGTCGCCATGTAACTAATCTGGAAATATGAAATCATGTCAGGTCAAGTCTGGTCATGAAGATACAAAAGTGTATCCAATGCTCCGCCCACCAAGAAGAAGGTAGAGATTTCAAGGACTCAAAATTACCCATGTTGCAAAACCCTCATTTAGCCATAAATGAGTCCACAATTCCATTGTAACTAGATTACCAAACCAATGATGAGCCACTTCATGCGTTACAACAATTGTCATCTACAAAACAAAGAAATTTTTCTTTCTCAATGGGCATTACTTGGTCTTCCAGAATTGGAATCACAAAAAGGATAAATAAAAGCCTAAAAACAACTCATTCTCCCGCCTTACACACATTGCAACTTATGATGAGGAAACAGAAATATGACAATAAAAATAACCAGGCTAAAACTTCCATTTTCTTAGAAGCAATGGAAGCAAGTTTTCAGTGCAATTGAAACTTGGGTGTATCATAAACTCTCCAGAAAGAAAAAATTGAAGCTAAAACCAAGTTGAAGTTTCAAATAGTAGTAATAAAGCTAAAAGCGATTTCGCTGCATTACTTACTCTCTGCTTTCTAGCAGCTGTAGACTGCAAATCATCATAAAGTAACTCAATTTCACGATAAATTATTAGACCATAATTCTCCATAGCTCCACCAGAAAATTCAGGGACAGCAACCATATCCAACTTAGGAAGTGGGTAAGGCATTGAGAAGTACCTGAAAAAACTCCATGACCAAGTTAGCTGAACAAGCATCTATTTTGATTACTGTTCACTAGGCTGTATCATCCAAGTGCCTTTTTTGATCCTCTGTTGGTTATTCAAGTGTTTCAGGCACAAGCATTGTCTACTATGGGATCACTTGTATAGCTTTTAGAATCTAAGTTCCTATGAGGGTGGTGACTAGAAAATGGTTTAATGTTCATCTGCCCGGAACAGAAACAAATTCAGAATTCCTGAAATGTTTTTTTTTTTTTGTTTTTTAATTCGAGTTCCTTTCTGTTGAGAAAATTATTGAAGCACTATGTGTGTTAATTGTTTTGTTCATATAATCACATGAATAACACAGAATTTCGTCACAACCACTAACAGAATATAAATCACTTACTTAGTAAATAAATCAAGTGCCTTGACTGCAATACTTAAAGCGTATTTCCCTTTATTACTCTGACCCAGAGGACAGTACATACGAACCTTGACCCCTGCATGACCCATTCAAAGACATATAAGGCGGTAAGGTTCATACTATTTTTGAAAATAAAATGGGGATTTATTGATACAATAGAACATAGCTTCCTGATGTGCATACCATCAGCTGTTGTGTCTTCGATATGGTCGAATAACCCAATAACAACAGCCACCAAATAAGTTGACATGAGAGGAGACTCCTCGAAATAAACAGTCTTGACATCCCCATTAAGCTTTTCATCGATGATTGGCATATTAGACAAAGCTGTCAACTCTAACCGTACATCAATAGTAGTTTTGAAGGTTGCCTGCTCAGAAAGATTAATAATACCAGATCAACATCAGATCATGTGCAACACAGAAGCAAGGAAAGAATGCACCAGATTACCAGTATACAATAATAATAAATCTTTTTGCACAAATCCACGTGAATTAAACAGCTTTGTTTGAAAAAATGCATGCCGTATACAAGAAAAGGTTGAGTCTTCACTTATCAGAAGGAACTATGAGATTTTAATACCTTAAGAGCAGGTTCATCCCAGCATGGAAAACACCTCCTTGCATCCACTGCTTCAAACTGAGTAACTGCCATATTCTTCTTCTCTTCTTCATCCATGTAAGAACTATTAAGATCAAATATCAAACCGTGATACGTACAGTAAACGCGAAGAATTTAACTCTTCTTTGGTTTAGTTGGTAGAAGTTCAGAGAAAGCAATATATACTTGTAGTCCATTGAAGGTCCAATTATCTTGATGCATATTTGTGTAGTGGTGGTTTCATTTAATTTTATTCTCTCTTCTTCTTGCTTCTTGGTGAAAATCTAATTACAGCATAAGTTCGTTTATTTATAAGTTAATCCAAAACAGAATAGAGAGAAAAAGAGTACCATCTGTAGAACCCCCTCAAATGCTCATTAAGGATCCCAGAAAAGTCAATCCGTAGCGTTCCATCCCCAACATCAAGTGTTTCTTCGAAGACCAAGACAAGTATCTTGTCATCTTCATCCAAAACAACATCACATGGATGATACTGCTGCTGCAACACGGATCAAGAACCGAATATGGTAGCCTTATGCCAAACCTCCATAACATCATTAGATACTATAATCAAGCAAGAATTACTTACTTGGTTCTGTGAGTTAGTGAACAGGACTCCTTGGATATTGAGTTCAAGAGCATTTAAAACAATAAACTTAGTGGGTTCAATGATTCTAAGGTTAATACATATGGTGCCAGAAAAAGTGCAGACTGAAAGATCAGGTTTGAGGTGAAGGTCATAACGATCAGGGGTGGCAAACTTCGGTAATCTTGTTTGACCTTTGAACTGCTCTATGTTCTGTTTCTGCTCCATTGCTCTCTCCAAAAACTCTCTTCTGGGCAACTGGGAGAGGGAGGATTAAACAAGGCTTCAGATATATGAAGAATGGCTGATCAACCTTAACAACATTTTTTCTTCTTGGACCTTTATATCCATAACCACTTACTTGTTTTTCCTTTTCTTGTTTTTATGTGAAAAAGTTTTATCTCTTCCGAGTAGATTACATGGTCATGCCACTCTCTTTCTTCATCATTTTCTCATGAGTGCTAGAAAGTGTAGTTAAAAAGGCCAATTGATGATGACCTAAGAGACCTAAAATCGTGTTCTGCGAAACTAAACCAAAGGGTTAGCAATAGCAGGTAATGTTGTTCAACAATTGAACAAGGGGGAAAGGGTTTTGGAAGGAGATTTATTTCAACATCTTTTGCTCGTGCTGTGTGCCAATTACAATACTCAGATAGGCAGGCATACGTTATTTTCCCTTTTTTTCCATAATGGCTCTCCTAGATGAATTGGACTTAGGGTTTAGTTAAAGCTACAGCAGGAGTTGAACACCTTGACAGTAGAACATTCACTCCGTAAACTTACAGTCCGTTATAGATGTGTAGCTGCGTTCAGCTTCATAAAATCCTGAGTGAGGCCATGACAAAGCCCAGAGGACTTCAGCATCCACGATACGTCTCAGACGTTGATTAAAAACCTTTTGGCATTTCGAAATTTGAGAGGAAGGGCAAAGGAACAAGATCGGCATCACTATAAATCAATAGCTAAATCCTCCAAAACAATCTTGATTAGCTTCTTTTGTTATGTTATCGACTTTGGTTCTTGCCTTTCAGATTTAGTAATTGATTATCAATGTATAAAAAGCTGAGCACATAATTAACAAAAACTACATTGAAACGAAGGGGATGTGCTTAAAATTTTTGATGTAGCCTGTCCAATCCAGCCAAGTAATTGGGGTTTGACTAGCTTCCCCATGTAGATTACAGGAGTCTCAAAAGCTCGTGATATAACAAACCAGATGACCAACATAATCAACAACATTGCTTTTGTAGAGGTTCATCCCTCTGCTTGAAGCAAGCACCCTCTGCAGCTGGAACGGATGCCCTATTTTCTAAAATTTTTGCTCCTTTTTATATATAATAATAATAATAATAATAACCTAGCTTATTAGTCTCCAATCAATGGATGGTGATGCATTCGCCCTTCTGCTTACCACAATAATGATAGGAACTTGTCACCCAGAAGTAACAATTTGTTCCAAAACTCAGAACGCCAAAATGTGGTTCCTTCATGTTGAAGGTTAAGATCACTTACCGGAATATCCAGATCACAGATTCCATAACTTCTGGCAAATAACTTTCACAGTAGAGCTGCAGTCTTCAGTGGTTGCTTCTGTAACTGAAACAGCCTGTGAGCAACTGCACATTTCTGGTATGCATCTTTGCCATACAGTTTATGAATGATAATATCAGAGTTTGATACACTGAAAGTCTATCCCTTAATATAGAAAGCTTCAGACCTTCCTACTTTAAATGGCTCACTAGTCACTAAGTATGTTTGGTTTTATTAAGCTACTTAGATAACTAGTTGCAATCTCCTATAGAAAACAATGCACGGGAAAGTAATTTCCTGGCAATGCTCTCAGGAGATGGAGGTAAATACAGTACTCGGAATAATTTCAACATCAAAGACCAAGTAGACAAGGTCACGAACTTGATTCCTAAGCAGACAGAAAATTCGAACAGAAGATTTCATAGTATTAAAAGTCATGCTTTCAATGTGGCAATTCAACAATACAGACTAAAAATCAACTTTGTAATTTTAAATATTTAAACAGAACAAAGTTTACTACTTACAATATAGTAGAGAATAAGGAAACCAGAAGCAAACATACAGAAAGTAACACCTGAAGCCAAAATGACCAACAAAACTTGCATTAATTCAAATGATAATGTCTTTATCCAAAAATGGTAATGCAGAAACATGATTTAGCTGTATGAAAGTCTACAAATTAGACAATCCAAAATCCTAACATGAAACATCCAAGGGCAGAATTATAAAAGAGGCGATATCAATGCCTATGCCGAGACAACAATAAGCTAGAGTTACATAAGCAAAACTTACAATGTTCCCAATCTGCCTAATACTTCGGTGTTTTACTCAAATATTTCTTCAAAACATCCATAACAGAACCAAAATCAGCCTTAACACTCACAGGCGGATTTGCAAACCTACAAGCCATGTCCTTGATATTATTCGAGTGATAATCAATCTTACTTTGAGTAAACTTCAGCCCATGGGCAGTACTAACCACCACTGTCCGATCAGTCTGACGTATAACCCCACTCTTCCTAAGCTTCATCAAAGCCGACAAAGCCACCCCAGTGTGTGGACATATAAACATCCCTGTTGAATCCGCCTGCGCCATTGCATCCATTAACTCCTCCTCAGTAGCCTCCTCCACAATCCCATTTGATTGTTTCAGTGCATAAACAGCTCTATCGATTGAAACAGGATCACCAATCTGAATAGCAGATGCAAATGTTCGATTGGCTTTCACAGCTTTAAAATCTTTCCACCCTGACTTATAGTACAAGTAAAGAGGATTGGCATTCGCAGCCTGTGCGCAAACAAGCCTTGGAATCTTATCCACAAGTCCCAACTCTTTGCACATATAAAACCCTTTATAAAAAGCATAAATATTCCCCAAATTCCCACCAGGAACAATAACCCAATCGGGCACTTCCCAATCAAACTGCTGCAAAATCTCGATGGCTGCAGTTTTCTGCCCTTCTAACCTCAAACTATTAAGCGAATTGGCTAAATAAATAGGCAACTCAGACGTAACCTCTCTTATCAACTGCATACAACCATCAAAATCAGTATCAATACTCAAAACATAAGCCCCATTGGCAATGGGCTGCACGAGCTGGGCCATAGAAATCTTATTAGCAGGCAGAAAAACAAAAGAAGGAATACCAGCAGAGGCACAATAAGCAGACAAAGCAGCAGAGGTATCGCCTGTTGAAGCACAGCCAACACCAACAACAGGTTTGTTCATTTTTATCAATCTATTAACCTGACTAACAAGAACAGTCATGCCCAGATCTTTAAAACTCCCTGTATGACTAATCCCACAATGTTTAACCCACAACTCATTCATTTCAAGGAACTGTTTGCCAAACCTTTCGGCCCAGAAGAGATTAGAGTTGCCTTCGAAAGCACTGACAATATCATCGCTGGAAATTTCAGGCAAGACCCATTCTTTCTTGGACCAGACACCGGATCCATAAGGCCAACTGGTCTTACCAACGCGAGAGTCGAAGAGAGCACGCCAGTAGGAGCCAGGGAACTCTTTGAGGGCGGAGAAGTCGTGTTGGACATCAAGGAGGCCCCCAGATTGGGAACGGTAGATGATCTCGTCTAGGGAGTAGGATTCGGTGTTGGCGGGGTCGTCGTTGAACGGGACGTATTTGGCGGAGAAGTTTTGGTTTTGTGGTGGGTTTGTGAGGTTTTGGCGGCGGGCTTCGTCGCGAATGCTGTTGCCTTTGCTGGTCGTGGTGGTGGTCGTCGTCGTATTATTTGAGGAGGAGGAGGAGGAGGAGGAGGAGGAAGGAGAGGAAGCTTTGATGGAGAGGAAAGACGGGGTTGCTTTGAGGGTGGTGGGCGTGGAGGAGAGCTTGGGGTTGGTGGAGAAGTTGGGAGATTGGAAGAGATACGAGGAAGCCATTTTGGGAGTGAGGAGGAGGAGGAGGAGGAAGAAGAGAGGCGGTTAGCGAGAAGTAGGCACTGATTCACTTGCGTTTGCCTCAGCGATGCATAAAGGGGAAATACGAGCCCTAGATCCTTGTTATTATAGGTTCGGTCAAAATGGCTTTAAAACTTAGGTAATCCATTTTTAGTGTCTCAACTTGTACCATTTTTACAATTAAGTGTATCATCTTTAATTTGTTCAAATAGGTTCTCAATCTTTGGAAAGTTGCATAATAGAACGAAAAGGGCACGTTTGTAAGTCTCTTTTTGATGTATCTGTTAGCTCTTGAGGTGGTATCAAGAAAACACTGGGAGAAAGAATGATGAAAACTATATTTTTTTATGGTAAATTAAATTGATTTGAAAGGAAAGCAAAAATAAATATAAAAGATTAGAATAAAAAAATGAACTACTAGTGTCAATGTTGTAAAAAACAAATAGTGACAATTGCATTATAAGTCCATCAAGTTTTAATATTTTTATCAATCAAATATATAAATTTAATTTTTTATTTGAATACATTAATTTTTTAAAAATTATCAATCAAATACTTTCATTTATTTCTCTGTTAACAACGAATGAAGTATATGTTACACTTATAATATCAAATTATAATTTATTTTTTTCAATCGAGTACATAAACTTTGATTTATTTATTTTTTAGTATACAACCTTTTTAAAAATATCAACCAAGCATTTTGTTAATTTTTTCGTTAACTAATGACGTATTTATTACAAATAGAATATCAAATTATAATTTTATTATTTTTCTTGTTAGAGAAAACTTTCTTCTCAAATGCTCACGGTTACGAATTTTTTTTATTAAAATTCTCACATTTGTGTTTTTCTTCAATTTTATTGTTTATACCTTACTATGTTTAGTTCGAGGTTCCATGGGTAAAAAATAATATTTTTTTAATTCTTTGTCAAATTTTAATATGATAAAATAATTCATAAATGCTCACAAGTAGTTGATCTTTTTTTATAAAAAAAATTCTCACATTTGTATTTTCTTTCAATTTTTATGCTTAAATCTAAATGGCTTTAGTTCATGATTTTATAGCTAAAGAATGATTTTTTGATTTTTTATCATGTATCAAAATGGTAAAATAATTTAGGAGAAAAGTTCTCCACAACAAAAAAAAAAAAGAACAAATTTATAATTTGAAATTCTGAATGCAATAAATATGTCATCAATTAATCGATAAATTAATAGAAATATTGACGAGTTTTCAAAAAGTCAATATACTTAAATGAAAAAAATTAAAATCAACATA